ATTCAAAATTCGATGACTCTATGTACCGTTTTTTTATGACAATACGAGAAATATACATACATTTATGCAGATTTTTCATTATTTAATTTCTTCAAATATAATGCAGGACTCTAACATTTTATGGCAACAGTTTTGAAAAGTGAACCGACATTTATGAGTCCGACGCAAAATGCCAAAACGAAACTAATAGTCCTTCGGGATTCAAATCCCTTTGGACTAAAAAAAAAAAAATTAATCATTATTACAGTTTTTTTTAATGACAACGCGCAAATAAAACCGTTCTTCTTTAGAAAAATTTTCAAATGACCAAAAGTGTTTTTAGCTGCGCAGCTGCTAATATCCTTTTTCTTAATCGCACGTCTCTTAACGTCGTTAAAAAAGGATTAATCGATCATAAAATTTCAAATTTCAGCTGAATGAATTTAATAAAACTTTAGTTATAGTTCCTTCATTATCTTTAATTCAATATATTATTTTTCTGTACAGTGCAATTATAAAATCATATTAACGACAAATTTAGTTGTAAATTATATTTACATGTTGAAAAATGTAACCGACTTTAAGTGCATTACAAAGCGAACTGCATTATAGTCCTTCGGGATCATCAAATCCATTTCTGGAAAAAAAAAAAAAAAAAAAATTATCGCAGAAGCGCAGTATATAATGTTTTGCATCGACCAGGCATGCCGACAGTAAATCGGGGCTGTTGTCACTACTGTACTTACAGCGCTTTTCTAGTGTAGTTCAATTTTTCTCTTTCATCGCAACAAATTTCGCAGGAATAATACAGTATTGTATTTTACTGTTTTACTCGTTACTTCGTTTTTTTTTTTTTTTTTTTTTTTTTTTTTTTTTTTTTTGTTTGTTTGTTTGTTTGCTTTTGTTTAATAAATAAACAGTCTTTTTTGTTTGAATAACTATTATGAGAGATGTTATTGTAGCCTAAAAGGGCGTTAGCCCGAAGGGGCTATTAGTTTCGAAACGGCATTCGGTGGCGTAGCACTCTAAATGTCTGAATCACTTTTAAAATTATTCCCATGACATATTATCGCCCTGTGTTACTTTTAAAGAAATGAAATAATGAAGAATCTGCATGGATGTGTGTATGTTTCTCGCACTGTGAAAAAATGACGGTACCTAGGGCCATCAGATTTTGAATAACGTAGTCCTCCACCCGAACATGTGCACCTGGAAGCCCGAATTTTCAATTCCGAATTTTACATTTCATAAGTCTTTAATGAATTTTAACAAACTCAATGATTTGAAAGCGAGCAGTAGCAACACTGTACGAATTAAACAATTATGTCCAGCGCACGAGACTGTCTGTCAGAAATTCTAAAAATATGCTGTTTTTAAATATTTTGTGATTTTGCTATTCAACTTAATTGCATGGGGCGTAATTGCGAAGAAAATGATTGTTAATTAATACATTTAGCACATAAAACGTCAGTAATAAAAAGACCATTAAAAAAAAAAAAAAAATTTTGCATCCATTTGGTGGATATGATAAACTGAGAAAAGACTGAAAAAAATACAAAAATATATAGCAACACTTAATATTTCGTCAGGAATAAAAATGCATATTTCTTTCACGTAACGTTTTGTAATTTTGCTGGTGAATTGTATATGGCGTAAGTACGAAAAAAATTACGCTTAATAATTAAGTTAAAAAGACAAAAAGAAGTGGGTTAGCGTGTGCAAGTGAGTGAGTGCAACAGCAGACTGGTAGACTGCGAGCTGAGCGAGAGCGTAGAAAAACCTTAGCAAACCCTTTGGGGGCAACCGTTAAAATGTCCTTTCATCTTTTTAATTCATGTTTTAGGATAATATATTTTTTTACGAATGGTTCAACTTAAATAACAAAGGTGATGACAAAGATGGCAATGGTACATATTCTATTCAAGCAGGATCTAGTAATCAGAAGGCGGCATCTAAGATGCGAAAAAAAAAAATATGATGGGCCATTTCTTCAATTTGGCTTAACGTTTAACAATTGTGATGGTAATAAGCAACCTCTTTGTTAATAGCATTTTCAGTATAAACAATCAAAATCAGTATAAAATAGCATTTTCAGTATAAACCATCAAAATTAATAAAGTATCTTGAGGCTATGCATTTTTTATATGTAAATGAACCGAAATAATATTTCAAACGTCTGTTAAAATCTTCAATTAAAGAAAAATAATATTTTGAGAAATTTATGACTGTTAACAAAGTTATACGCCATTGGAGAAATTATTGCATTACCTGATGATATTAAAAATGGTAGAAATATTTCATGGAAGTAAATGTGGTGATGGAATTCCCGAAAATTCTTTTGTCAACCAACCATGTCACCACTCTGCAAAGATTAATATCGCCCTGGTTCTCGTCTCTGCGCCGTCAGGAAAGTGTAGCTGCCAAAATTTCGCCACAGCGCTTCATAGCTGTAACGAACACTGTTGTTAAAATAGTTAATTTCATAAAGCCTCGGCAATTTAAATATCTTGTAAAAGAAATGAAAGGCGAATATGTGGCCTTTATACAGCCATGTCTATCGGCTTTGTTGAGGTAGTGTCTTGAATAAGTTTATGTCAGAGTTTTTCTTAATGAGAAGAATGAGCATTTCCCCGAATGGAACTATGAAGAATGGTTATGCAAATTGATGTTCCCGATTGGTATAATTAAACATTTCAATGAATTAAGGTTTGCTAGGAAAGGCCTAAACAGTGCTTGAAACGACTTTCTTAACATGAACGCTTGTTAAACCCAATTATTGTTCAGTGCTGAAACGTCAAATATTGCACCAAGATTTAAGTACTTACGATACAAAAAAGAAACACCTAACGCCTCATTAAAACGTCTTTTTTTTTCATTAATTTTTGTATTCCTGAAACAAATTCTAAAAATACTTTTCATGTGTATAGTATTTACGAAAGATATACATTATTTATGAGAAAATATTAATTTTGATGTTTAATATCTGGAGGTCGCGAAAAAAATTTGAGCTGGATATTTAATTTCAAAATTTGCAAATTTTGATGCCCTATTCTCGAGTTGCCTTAAGGGCTCTGTTAAAATTAAATTAGAATAATTAGAGGAAATAAGTTTTTATGAATGATAGAAATGACGGAAAGAAATCATGATCACGAATAATTAATTTCAAAGTTCTATTATTTTTTTTTCCTGACAACGCAAAGAATTGACGCATGATTGCTAAATTATACTGAAACATATAGAAGTTTTGCACTTTTATTCAAAAAAAAAAAAAAAGTTAATGCTGTTTTGGGATTTTACTTCTACAAAATCGAAATGCTACTTGAAAAGAATTTATCAGACAACTACACACAGACAATATTTCTCTGTAAGGGTTAACATATCACAAAAATGAGCTTGTTAGTTAAATATAAGACGTCTGTGCAGTATATCATAATCAGGTGCAAGGAGTTTTGTAGTATCGAAAACAATGAGAAACTTAAAATCCCAAGATTAACAAAAAGACATAATTTTTAAAACGCTTTGGAAATATACTCGAAATTCCTTAAGACTCTGCCCATGCCTAGAAGCATTACGGAATAAAGGCGTTTTCAAAAATGATAAGTAGGCGTTTAAGGCAGAATCACTCTTAACATAAATAACAGGAAAAGTAACATTTTCAGATAAAAGTAATTTACACCAGTCATGAAGAATAACGCAAGATCACGACTACAGAATACTAATGGAAAGATTTTTTAAAGATTATGTTATCATCCTGTGTTAAAAAGCATTTTACTAGAATTATATAGTCAATCCAAAAGTTTCCGGCCTTACATACGAAAAAAAAAAAAAAATTACTTGGCGATAAATCCATTTTGCAGACATGTAATTTCAATACTCGATTAAATTTGAAAATTTCTTTTAAAAGAATCGTCTACCCTCTATTTTGAGTGCTGATTGAATGAAATAATGCTGTAGCTTGTTCTGAAATGTTTAAAATTGCGTATCGTTCTTTAATAAATCTTTGAATAAAGAAGGTCTTAAGCCCAAAGAAATGATTATTTGATTATGGTAAAGCACTAGAGGGCTCTCTGCCTAAAGGAAGGCATGCCTTCGTGGAGGACTGTTTAAAGGAAACTGGCTAGTATACCCGTTACACATGGGGGGGAAGAACTACGAATACGCCCATGCAGCCAGATCTTTCGCCAGAATTTGAACCGCAAACCGAACTACTAGTGTTCGGCAATTTTATCGCTCGGCCGCTTGCAAGCATCCTAAAAGAAATGAAAAAATGCTTCGACATTATGTATGCTGATTCGTATGCTTCCTGTTGCTCAACGGACGGGTTCAACGGAAAGAAATGCCTTCGTGGAGGACTCTTTAAAGGAAACTGGCTAGTATACCCGTTACACATGGGGAAAACTACAAATACGCCCATGCAGCGAGATCTTTTGACAGAATTCGAACCACGGACCGAATTACCAGTGTTCGGCAACTTTGTCGCTCGGCCGCTTGTAGGCATCCTAAAAGAAATGAAAAAATGCTTCGACATTATGTATGATGATTCGTATGCTTCCTGTTGCTCAACGGAAAACCATTTCGCATGGGCCAAGAATCTGTAAAAGATTATTCTCGTGAAAATCAACTGTACAAGTCACTGACATCGGAAAATATTGTTGTTGTCTAAAAGGATATGGGATTAAAATTTAACAATACAGACGAAAGATTGGATCTACCGGAAACAACTGTTTTGCTTGTTCTGCATAAAGACTTTCACAAAGTCTCCGCAAAATGCATATTCCAACTTCTTTCAGCAATTCAAAAACAGCTATAGGGTCTTAACTGTAATATCAAGTACCTATTAGACTACGAAGGTAATTACCGCTTCGTCTGAAAATGTACAACAAAGTCTTACTGATATTGCCTTTCCATACTAAAATTGTGTCGTTTTTAAGAGTTTACAAAGAAAAGGATGAGTTCGCCTAGGAGATGTAAATTTTAAGCTTTCCAAAGGATCTAGAGTTTACCTGTAATGGTACATCATGCAATCCCACCGTACACCTAGTATTCAGTATTTATTAAAAATGATGATTTAGGACATAATGAGATAACAATTTCAATACAATATGAAATTCACAAATTAAACTGACAACTTTTGTCTGGATGAAATAAAAATAACAGATAAACATAATGAGATATATATAATAAGTACTGGGAACACAATTTTGCAATGAATTGTACTAATGATACTAAATATGTGTCCAAGGGTTCAAAATCGATAAAAAAAGCAATATCGAAAAACACTGTGAGTAAGAATAATAGATTTGAGAATGCAGTAAATAATTTTAACAAAGTTGAATTTGCAATTTTAAAAAGGATCGTAGCCGGAGAGTACATAAAGTTGGCCTAACTGAGCCGACTCAGACATAAATGGTGAGCACTTTGGCTAGTAAATGGCTAATGCCGAAACACTAACTGACAGAGCTAATAGAGTATAGAAAGTAATGCTGGGAGCATCACTGTCAAAATCTGTACATCTAAAACATTCAGAAACCCTCGAATTCAATAGTTTTCAATCTCCATTTGCATCCTTTTAAGGACTAACCGAAAAGGGAGAATAATAGTACAGATCCAAATTATAGAAACTGGTTTTAACGCAAAGTATCTTACACCACAGCGTATCAATGTAAATCACAAGCAGCAATGTGAGTATAGGAAGTTTGTCCACTTCTCTTACAGTTCAAATAAGCCCCGGGGATTATTAGCTGTTTACCAAACTTAAAATTTTCTTTACTTTTACTTCTTAAACTTTCTTTTAAACTGTTCCTTTTTAAACTTTCCATGGAAAGAAATTTAATGATGATTATAGTATGAAAAGAGCAACTATGAAATATTTTGAGAAGAAATCATCAGCTTACTTTTTCAGGAGCATAGAGCTGCGCATGAAAAGATGTGAAAAGTGCATCGAGGTACAAAGCGTCCACACTAAAAAATAAACTATCGAAGTTTTCTCTCTTTCTTTTCGAAGTACATCAGGCGGGAAACTTTTGGGTCTACGTACCCAAAATTATTTAGAGGATTTATGACGATTAGTCAATTTTGACCAAACTTTCTACTGTAGATCACGCACAAATAAGTAAAAGTTAAGAAAGCATAATATAGATGTTTCTGAATGAGCCCAAAGACAGCCTGGATGTGCATCCTATTGAAAAATTTTGTAATATTCGTATTTTATGAAATATTTTTGCCAATAAAATTCTGGAAATGTAACCACAGAGAACCATTCTACAGCTGAAGCATTAATAGGAGCTATATCTAAGCATCGAATTAAAACTGCATCAAATAAATATGTAAAGTTAATACTTTCAATGCTAAAGACATCTCTTCGTGTCTTGAAAGCAGTAGTTGGTGAGTGCACTCAAATTTTAGTTGGCAACCGTCTTAGAAACTTGATGGAATTACTATGCATGAAAATTTAATAGAACTTATGGAGCTTAATGGAATAACAATTGGAAACTTAATGGAACTAACTACCTTTCAGTTTATAGAGCAGATAATAACTTTGTCCTCGGATTAACTGCACAAAAAATATATTTTATGAAATGAAAATTTGTAAGGTATTTTCTCCTTCCTGTCCGCATCCCTTCATGGTGTAACTGGAAACACACTCGATGCGTAATTGGGAGGTCTGGAGTTCGAATCTCGGGGAGGGCATTGTACATTTTTCACGATCCTGACTTCGAAAATGAAATAAGACTAATGGCTCTACTTTATATTTTATTCTAAAATTTCATCAATTTTGTGTTTCAATATACGAGATGAATTGCATAAAATGGTTTCGAGTAAATAAATGTAATAAATAACAAATAAGTAGCGTTTAAATTTTAAATTCAAATGAATTAAAAACTGCTCTAATACATTCAGTAAGTGTTACAAGTGCTTTGGTACAGATTTGAAGTTAAAAATGTCAGCAGCCTAGTAATCCTAATTTTTGCGATCACAGTACGTTACATTACGTTACCATTCCATTAATACTTCACACGACCTGATTTATTTATTGCCAATTGAGACAGTTCTTATCCCATCTTAAGACGAAGATAATTAATGTTATATGACTTTTCGATTGCTAGCTGGAAGTGCTTTCCAGTAACACCACGAATACAAATGGCAAGGAGGTAGAGAAACCTTTTATTTTGCCCACACAAAGAGCGACTAGGGAGCATTGGACTCAACCACGAAATACTGACGGTAACGAATTATGGTTCACTACCCTTTATAGTTTTTTACTTTAAAATAGGTATTTCAAGGTCATTGTAAACCTAGTTGTTTATTTTCTTCACGTCATTTGAGACAGTAGTTCAAATCAGTTTTCATTGGCGTGCTTTTCATGAAGCGAAAAACTCTAAACAGAGATGAAATGGGGTAAAAAAATTAAGCGAATCCACATTTTTTCCGCAGCTGTTTTTCCCATTTTTACTAGAAAAATCGAGCGGTGGGAAATTACTCAGAAGTTTATATTTTAAAGTAACACTGGTTCCGGTGCCACTATAGACATCATTAGGCATGTAATTTTAGAGCAGGAGACGTGGAAAATGAACAGCGCGCTCTCCGGCATTCGAATTCCATCTATTCTAACTGCATATCCGAAAGGCTTTCCATTTGTACCACGAAGGCACGCACGCGGTAAGGAGGGAAAAACCTTACACATTTTGCCAATGATTTCTTCTGACTGATTACAGGCGACTTCTGTTGACAGAGGCCCGTTTAATAGAGGTTATATTAAATTTTAAATACAAAGTAAATATTTCTGGCTGCCTAAAGCCAACATAACTTCGTTTTTTTAATATTAATTTAATTTAAATTTTAAAGAATTTTGCTTTCCTTCCAGATCGGTTAGACCAAAGGAACACATTATTATAACTATTATTACTCTTCATAATTCGTTTAAAAAGCAATTGAAAGAGAAGAGCAAGGAAAAAGAAGCAAAGACGATCCAAATGTTACCATCTAACTCCAGATAGTACGTCGTTAGAACTCACTGGATAATTTTTTTTATTTCTTACTCTAATCAACAAATCTTTAAACATATTCAGCCTCTGATCCTAATTCTGAAAGCTTATCTTAATAAATGTTCTTTCAGATATCTGGCACCATTCTCAGTGACATGATCCATAATTATAAGATTTAAATATTCAGATCATTTTTCTGTGGTAATTTTTTGCCCATAGCAATGAGCGATTACGGTAATTAGTCGTGATTGCTCATGCCTACCACCCACCAGTTATCGCTTTGTATCATTTTCATATTTACATAAACACGAATTAATAATACATTTCACGTCCTGATAGGGAAGGAGAGCGTTTATGTCTTCAATTTGTATGTCAGCTTTTAAAATAATGTTCGTATTTTGATTTTATTTTTAAATTGTAATAACTTTGGGATTGTTTCTCTCAATTCTGTAATTCAGGCACAAGATAAAAATATGTGTAACAGACAGGCAATATCGACATTACCCTGGATTTTTAAAAGTATGCAAAATCAAATCTAATAATGTAGGTAGTTTTACAGTTATATACGTATCGTCTGCTTTCTTATTACAAATAACTTAAATAGAAATATGTCAAAAAAGGATTAGTACCATTTTCCACATTATATATTGATCTTAGGCATATACTTTGAGTTCTAAAGTTTCTTAAAATTCTGTGTAACATTGTATGGGAACTTGACGTAACGCTTTGGCCAAATTTCTAAGAAGAAAAATACCTAAATCTTTAAGGGTCTTTTTTTAGTAAAAGAAAAAAAAAAGTTCCAACTCTTTTTATGCAACACCTGGTGTCTAACAAAGGTAAGTAAATTTATGTCCCACGCTCTATGAAGTCGCATGAACACCTGGGACCTGGATGATGTTACATGAATGCGTAAACTGCATGAATATATAAGCATTAGCTATTAGATTGCATTGATGATGCTCTTGAGCCGCACGTTGCCATAGTTCTTACATACATTAAATACTACTACTACTACTAATAATAATAATAATAATATCATCCAGGTCCCAGTTTGTTCATGAGACTTCACAGAGAAGCAAATACATTCCCGAGGCAGGCCTCCTGGGTCTCGGGAGCTGTCGGCTTAAGATAGTGAAGGGCGTGGGACATAATGAAACGTGACAACATTTCAATAGGAAAAAAAAACCTATATCCATCTTTTTCGTACATTCTGTACACAGGTATATACTCCAAGCCCATAAAAGTCCTTACCCATTCTATTTTCACAATTGTCGGTCCAAGAAATACACTTCCAATAATAAAAGCTTTAAGCAAATTTACCTATTTTATAAATAATATGTAAAAACGAACATTTTAGCCCCTCCCCATTTAAAAACTGCTAATTTTTATCAAATTGCTGCCAAACAACCACTATACTTCAATTCAAATTTTTGCCGGAAAAAAAAAAAAAAAAAAAAAATCTGAAATGTTTCAGATTTTAAATTACGTCCAAAGGGGCGTTTTTTTAACATTTTGTGTGTTACCTTTCTTTATTAAATATCATGTTCCTCGCACTTAAACCATAAGATCCAGTGCAACAGCAATATCGCAAAATAGTTTTAAAACGAGCATATCTTTAGAATTTCCGATACAGAGACTCACGCGCTGGAGATAAAAATGTTTTTTCTGCACAACGTTGCCATTGCTCGCTTTGAAATCCTTGAGTTTGTTAATCAAAAATTCGTCAAAGTTTTAAAAAATAGGAAATCGATCATAAAACAAATTTCAAATTTCAAATTTGGTCTTCCACATGCTCATATTCGTTGGAGGATTACGTTATTCAAAATTCGATGACTCTATGTACCGTTATTTTATGACAATGTGAGAAATATACATACATTTACGCAGATTTTCATTATTTAATTTCTTCAAATATAATGCAGGACTCTAACATTTTATGGCAACAGTTTGAAAAGTGAACCGACATTTATCCGTCCGACGCAAAATGCCAAAACGAAACTAATAGTCCCTTCGGGATTCAAATCCCTTTGGACTAAAAAAAAAAAAAAAAAAAAAAAACTTAAATTAGTTTTATTCCAACTAAAAGAAGTTAAAATACTTTTTTTCATTAATATTCATGATTTTACTCGTATTGTAATTTTATCATACTTTCATTGAATGTTTTTTTCCTCATCTTCACAGTGCTCAGCATCAGGTCCATACTGCAGACGGCACTGATGGTCAGCATCATACATGGCACCAGGAGGAAGCTCGGGGAAAAGGAACTCATGATCCGAAGGCTCATCATCCAGGCAATTACCCCAGTCTCGGCTGCAAAATATTTTAATGAATAAGTCACAGCAAGAATATGACCCATGGCATTGAAAACAGAATAATCATAAATCATACTATTTTCTTTGAAAGTAAACTTTTCGTGAATTTTAACTTACAAACTGCAATTTTCTCCGCAAACTATGTAAATCGTCTCTATGAATTAAAGCTTAATGCCGTAGTTTAAAACGCTTTTTGCCAGCAAAATCTTTTCCAAAAGTTCGTAAAAACTCTTATAAACCCGAATGTTTACGTACCTCGTATTAGAATGGCGCCGACATGGATGACGCAGTTTCGACTTTAAACATACTTAATAAATTCAGTCGACTCTTGGTCTATTTCAACCAAACTGAAGACATTTAATAATAACATTCACACGTAAACATTTAGTAATAATTCAGGAAGTACAGATAAGCATAAAATAATAATTACAACCGTTACAGGCCAGCTACGCTTTTAGCGACCGAATCCTACGAACGACAAATCTCAAAAGCGTGTTGCCAACGCAGGGCAACGAAAAGGTAGAAATTAATTCGATAGGCGTGGAAGTGAACATACTCCCACCCTATCAGGTTTAGTCTTGATACACAGGCAACGGTGAAAGTTTATTAATTCCTCTTTTGAAATACCAGTTTTAGTTTTGACAGTGGCTACGCGAGCTAAGCCGTCCTTGCCCGGATGGACATCGATGATCCGTCCTATAGGCCAAGCTAGCGGTGGAGATCCATCTTCGATGATAAGAACCACCGTGTCGATTTTTAGATTGGGTCTGTTGTACTGCCACTTGGATCTCTGCTGAAGCGAAGTCAAGTATTCCTTTTTCCATCGCTTCCAGAATCCCAGACGTAGATTCTGTACAAGTTCCCACCTAGAACTCCTTGTGCGTAAATTCTGATGGCTCTCTGGAAAGGAAGTTAAAGTATCACCTGTAATGAAATGAGAAGGGGTTAAAAAAACATTAATACAGTCAATATCAGTATCGTTCACGTAAGTAAGTGGACGTGAATTCAAAATAGCCTCGATCTGGGTAAGTAGCGTTGACAACTCTTCGTAGGTTAAAAGAGTCTCTTTCAATACTCTTCTCAGATGAAATTTCGCTGAGCGAATGCCGGCTTCCCATATTCCTCCGAAGTGGGGCGAAGCAGGCGGTATAAAATGCCATTCAATAGATGACTTAGTTAGTTCTCGGGAAACCGATTCCGTTGCATACAAGGAAGACCAAATCTGATTTAGTTCTTGTAGTTTTCGGCATGCTCCCACAAAATTGGTACCGTTGTCACTGTAAATGTGCCGTGGTGCACCGCGACGTGAAATGAAACGTCTAAGTGCAGCGATAAACGAGTCTGCCGTCAGGTCACTGACTGCTTCTATATGCACAGCTTTAGTCGACAAGCAAACAAACAGAGCTATATAGCCTTTCGTTGTTTTAGAGCCACGACCCTTATTAAATTTCATGGTAATAGGACCAGCGTAATCCACACCAGATGCGTAAAAAGGTCGTTCCAAAGTCACACGATGTTCAGGTAAGTCACCCATCAATTGCGGATTTGAAGCAGCTTTAAATCGATGACATATTAAGCAATGGTTGACACAACTGCGTATCAGTTTCTTTCCTCCAATTATCCAGTAAGATTGTCTGATGAGGTGTGATAATAAAGAAGGACCAGCATGAAGGTAAGTAATATGAAGTTCTTTCACTTGTAATTCGCTAAATTTATGTCGAGAAGGAAGTATGATAGGATGTTTGATGTTAAAGAGACCATCTTTATCTATGAATGGATACAAAGAACGTAGTTGGCTCTTCTTGGATAAAGGTTTCTCTTCTTTAATACATTGTAAATCATCTTTGAAATGATGATTCTGAATCCAACGAATAATGAAATTTTCTGCTACTCGAATCTCTAGAAATGTTAGCGGCATAAGGCAGCTGGAGTTAATGCCACTACGTGAAATGTTCTGAGTAACATGATGCTTCTTGCAATTAGTAATAAATCTTTGGCAGTAAGCCAGAATACGAACAATTTTACAACGCGAAGAATAATGCTCGAACAAATTAGCTAATAAATCATTCGATTCACGTATATGAGAAATAAAAATAGGATCAGATCTTTGTTCGGCCTTTACTTCAGCATCATCTTCAGATTTTAATTCATATTCAGGCCATTTTTCCTCTTCCTGACGCAACCATGGTGGACCATTCCACCACAAAGTACAATTTGGTAGGAGTTGAGGTTCAATACCACGAGAAGCAATGTCTGCAGGATTCTGTTTAGAGGGAACATGATTCCAATGTTTAATAGGTATCACTTCTATGATTTGAGATGTTCTGTTTGCCACAAAAGTTTTCCACTTACGTGGATGAGCTGATAGCCAAGACAGAACTACCTTGGAATCCGTCCACGCAAAGATTTCAAAATCAAACTTCTTTAAAATGTTCAATAGAGATCGCATTAATCTGGTCAACAAATACGCAGCACAGAGTTCTAATCGAGGAATGGATACTTGCTTTATAGGCGCGACTTTAGTCTTTGATACCAAAAGATTAACCTTAACCGTACCATTGCATTTTTGGCGACAGTAAATGGCTGCTGCATAAGGCCTGCGAAGATGCATCAGAAAATCCATGTAGTTGGATAACACTGTCCGTTGTAAGTATGACACATCTCGGAATTTCACAATTATTGATTTGACTGAATGTCTCTTGAAATTTAAACCAATCATCTGAGATATGCTGGGGAACAACTGAATCCCAGTCGCCTTTAACTAACCATAGTTTTTGATAGAATATTTTAATCAATATAGTGCAAGGAGATAAGAGACCTAAAGGATCGAAAATGCGAGCAGATTCTGCTAATATGCGTCTTTTTGTTATAGGTGCGTTGATGTGCAGTGTAGCTTTAAAACTGAAGGTATCAGTAGTTGAATTCCAAAAAAGTCCTAAGACTTTCGAACTCGAATTAGGAGATATCTCAAAATCAGAATTCAATGAACAATGTTCCTTAAATTCAGTTAAGAATTCTACAGAATTTGAATTCCACTTCCTCAAATCAAAACCACGTGCATGTAAAATTGAAGATATTTTCTTGCAGACAAATACTGCATCATCAACTGTATTTGCACCCGACAATAAGTCGTCCATATACATATCCTCTTGCAATATACGAGATACATCTGATTCCTCTTTAGACTCTAAAGCTACCTGCTTCAGACATCGAGTTGCTAAAAATGAAGCAGAGGAAAGACCATAAGTAACTGTTTTCAACTTGTACGTGCGCATTTTATCACTGGAATTGTATCGCCAAAGTATCAATTGATAATTCTGATCTTCAGGGGCTACCATCACCTGACGATACATCTTCTCCACATCGGCTGTGAAAACAATTTTAGGAAATCGAAAATTAATCAAAATCTCAAAAATATCTCTTTGTAATTTCGGACCTACCCCTAAAAGAGAATTCAATGATATATACCATTTTCAGATTTGCAGGATGCATCAAAAACTACTCTTAATTTTGTCGTTGTGCTAGAAGGTTTAATTACCGCATGATGAGGAAGATAAAACTTTTCTGTATCCGATCTGTTAGATAAATCATCATTAATCACAGTCATATGTCCTAACTGTTCATATTCACGTATGAAATCTTTATACTGTTTTTCAAATTCCGGATTATCTTTGAATTTTCGTTTCCATGGAACGCAACCTAGAAATTGCTGCCGGTTTTGAATCACCCAACTTCAAATGCGATTTATAAAATGGAAGTTTTACAACAAATCGCCCATCTGAATTAACAGCATGAGTGTTTTGAAAATGTGATTCACAAAATTGTTCCTCAGGTGTCAGAAATTCCTTTTTCCGAACATCGACAATATCCTCCATTTCCCAGAAACGCTTAAGTTCGTAATCAATATTTATATTATCTTCTAACTTTATGAAGTGTAAATTTGCTGTTTTGGGGGCCTTCCATATTATTTCCAACCTTCCCAGCAATCACCCAACCGAAAATTATATTTTGAGCTACCGGCTCATTTTTCGAACCATATATTTGGCCAGATCTTAAAACGGAGAAAAAAATAATCAGCTCCTAAAATCAAATCAATTTCTTTGGGTTGAGCAAAATTCGGATCCGCTAACGGAATAGATTTAATGTATTCTATATGCTTTACATTAATCACTTGTTCCGGCAATGGCAAAGTTAACCTATCCAAAATGTATGCGTTAACATCAATTACTTGATTATTTAACTTTGACCGAACTTTAAAATCAACAGAACCACGAGTTTTGGAAGCTGGCACTCCGCCAATTCCACGCAAAAGTAACCTTTGATTTGTTCTTTTTAATCCTAATCTTCGAACAGCTCGTTCAGAAATAAACGAACTTTCACTTCTGGAATCCAATAATAATTTAATTTCGATAGTTTCTCCACTGGATGAAAATGCGAGTGCGAGAACTGTAGGCAAAATCGCCGAGTTGCAATTTTGAATCGTATTACTGACAACTACCTGACCTTGACCCTCGCATGATTCATTCGAAATTCTCTCTGCAGTGCTTTCGTTTTCATTTGGCGCTTTTAAAAGCTGTACGTTGTTAGCTTTAATATCTTCATGCAACAAACTATTACTAATATGAATGCAAACTACGATGCAGCAGCAAAATTCATCAAAATGCCGGTTGTTAGCACTTTTTTTCTTTCTGAAAAAGAGTTATCAGCTCCCACTGATACCAAAAATATCTACAGAAAAGAAGGAAAGAAAATCTGACAAAGGTAAGATTTCAACGTGGCACCAGAGGATTTGTTACGTTTTTTTATGCTCATGGAATCACTTCTGCCAGAAGAATTTTTTTTATCTTTGCAGCTTTGTTATTAAGAATTGCGCTTACGCCATATAAAATTTGAGGGCAAAATTACAAAATATTTAAAAACAGCACATTTCTAGAATTTTTGATAGAGAGTTAAGAGTTAAAACACATATTTTTTTATATTCGCTGTATGATTTCTTTGTAAACCGCCTAAAAGAGTAATCATAAAAAAATGATGTTAGGTTATTTAATTACGGCAAAGCCTCGAGGGCTATCGGCCTAAGGGGAGGGATTCCTTCGTGGAGGACTTTGTAAGGGAAACTGGCTCGTATACACGTTACACATGGGGAAAACCACGAAAACACCCTGCATAGCCAGCCCGTTCGTGGGATTCGAACCTCGGATCCAACTATCAGTGTTCAGCGACTTTACCGCTCGGCCCTGCTGGTGGGCTTCCTAAAAAAGGAAAACTATATAAAAATTTTAATGAGCCCAACTAGTGTCATTTCATAAAAATATTTAATATTTCTAATTAGACATCTATTGTTTTAAACGCATTTTTATTTAAATTAATCAGATTAAAAAGTAAAAAAAAATATTTTTAAGAACTGTTTTTAAACCATTTGGTTTGCTACTCAGTAATAGAAAGATTAAATTTGAAAATACTGAATAGCAACAGGCTGGTCCGTGGAAAGATAATAAGTACTTTATTTGAATCTTTGGCAGCACATCAGACAGCCGAATTTGTGGATTGCGATTGATAGTTATATATCTTATATTTAGCCAAACAGTCCGACGTAGCGGAAATATTTTGTTTCGAACAGTGTTGCCACTTCTCATTTTCAAATTGCCGAATTTAATTTTGTACAAAATATAAAATAAATCAATAACGAATTCGAAATTCAAATTTCGGCCTTCGAGTCGGGTGAAGGATTACGTGCATTAAAAATTCGGTGACTCTAGATGCCATCGTTTTTTCACAATGCGAGAAACATGTATATAGGCATACTTGCACACAGATTCTTCATTATTTAGTTTTAAAAAATAATGTAGTGCTGTAACATGTGGTGGCAACAATTGAAAAGTGATACGGCAAAACGTAAGTTTCGAGACTAATAGCACCTCTGGGGCTAAAAATCTATGCCGATCTAAGCATGTCATGTAGCCTAATTTTACATTTTGAACACCTGAAATAAAATATTATTGTTTTTACTGAGCGAATCTCGTGTCTTTGCAAAACAAAACTGTTGGTCCTTTACTTGTGAGGGCTCTACTCTTATATTCGCCTTAAGATCACTAAATGAGGCGATATATGTTCTGCACTGGTTTTGGGCGCGATTGCGGTGGTTTGGGGGACGATGTTGTTTGTATGGCAACCCTTTTGACGTTGAAACTTTAACTCTTTTGGTGCAGTGGTTTAATTGCTCATTGGTTCGTGTTTTGAATTGGCCTATGTTGCAATGATAGACGTGGTGGCAAGATTTCAGTCGCGTATTTTAGATTGTGTGGAAAGTAAATTTAGTATTAAAAGGTACGATGTTGGAGTTGTTAACGAGTCTTTTGTTCACGGGTGTGTTTATAAGGATCGAAGTGTATTTTTTGGAATTTCTGTGGGACTTTTAAAATGGAGTCCGAAATGCGGAGCTGCTATGAGAACTCGGACGAAGAATGGCGTTTCTGATAGTTCCTGTGTGGATTTACAGTTAAATGCTTGCTGGTAAAGTATGTGGCTGTCAGCGGAGTTTAAGATTTGGTTCGTGGTTTTCGTATAGTAAGTTAAGGAGGAAGTTTTTATTACTTTCGAAATTTTGAATCGCAGAAAGAGATGTGATATAGCAAAATGGTGGAACGTTTGTTCACAGACGTTGTGTGACTGGCGAAATTTTATTAACGAATGTATTATGGTAAGTGCATTTTATTTTACTGTTTTTATTTTGTAGAATGTTATGTTCATTGTTTTTATACTATGAATTTCTGTTGTTATTGTTGCTTTTTGAATTGTTTGTAATTTTAGTTATTTTACTTTATTTTGTTGATTTGTGCGCAATGCCTAGATTGTGCAATTCGTAGATTTTTTTTTTTTTTATTTTTTTTTTTTTTTTTTTAAAGTTAAAACATATCGCTGTGCACATGGATTCTTGTCAAATATTTTTGGTTAGAAACTTTACGTTTTGGCTATCTAAATTTTTTGTTTTTGTTTTGGATTTTTAGCTCAAATTGTGTGTTTAAAACGTGGTTTTTGCATGTGCGAAAACCGCGTTTTAGAGACATTTTAGGCTTAAAGTTCGAAATGTAGACAAAAAATTTAGATAGTAATATGCCAAGTGGAGAGTTTTGGCGAGAAATTTGTCGCCGCATTTGGCGACCTGAGGGCGCATATATAAGAGTAGTTCCCTTGTGAGAAATAAAATACTTTATTCTTGAATAATTAATAAGCAAGACATTTGGCATTCTAGCAAATTTTTTTTATATTTCTTACAGTTTAGTGTTGCTTTCTTGAGCAGCTTGCTTTAAATATATGATAATTTTCATTCATGATTTCAATTCTGATGCTATGTACTTAATTGTTACAATGTATATTTATTGTTATGCACATTTTAAATTATAAAGGAAAAACTCCACGTACTCGAGGAACTTCGTGATCTCGTTCCTGCTGCAGTTAGACCAGACTAATGGACTAGCATCAGAATTTAGATGTGGAGACATAACATGCTGACGTTCTCCAAAAGGTGCTTGGCATCCGTTATGGGGACCATCATGCGCCATTCCGAAACTGAAAGAGAAAAATAATTTTATAAAAATAAAAGAATATGAAATATATATTGGCCACAAACTAGACAATCGGACATTTGTAGATTTAAATAAAAACAAAAAAGAACAGAAAAAAAAATTTTAATTTTGATTATCATACCAATTAGTCAGTTTCTAGTTTAAAATTTAATTACTGTATTTTCTCACGCATTTTTCTCCGTACCATTTTAGCGCCGGGTTCTGAAAATTGTTAAAATATTCCCGTAACATTCCCTTTCATTAATGAGTTCAGAGAACGAGCTTCCCTAAATTTTAAAATGGATTTGTACATGTAGTGGTTTTTTTCCCTCACTAACAAACTCTCGAAAACTAGCTTCGACGCTCACGCCGAACCTTTTCCTCCCAACAATTCAATTTTATGCCTGCTTAATACAAGAAACGACTTATCACAACGAAGCAAACACAAACTGACATTCAACTTACGATTCCTGTGTATCGGATGCAAATTCACCTCCTCAAATTATTTATGCATCATTTGAAGCCTAAGGAAAAGCAGAGACAACAACAGGTTTCTTTTAAACAGAAAATATTGTGATAGTCACCTGTACCTTATCCATAACTAATTTTCATTGTATGTTCTTCTGTAATTGCGTTGTTTGGAAATTAAATTATTAGCATAAGTTTTTCCGTCTCGGTTTTCGGACGATAAAAATAGTAAAAAAATGGAAAGAAATTATGATAGGAAATATGCTAATTAAATTAGAATTAAAATAAGATAATTTAAAACTTTTGGCTGAAAAATATTTAAAAAATTTCAAGCGAAAAGTTCTAGAGAAGCTTATAAAATCTGACTAATTATATTTCCAATTTATCCTCCCGGATTTCTTTCCTATAAGCTACAATCGGAAAATACCAGAACTGTATTTAACACTTCCAGCTTAGAAGTTTATAATAGTAATTTCACAATGCTAGAACTGAACAGAGTTTTCCCGAAAACCGATAAAACAAGTCTAGGCTTGGATAGCATTAACTATGGGATGATAAATCATTTCCCCCATAAATCATTGACTTTTGTCCTTGCACTGCATAACAGAATATGGACAGACAGGTTTTCCCAGAAGCATGGTGAACCATTAGAGTAATTCCTATGGCAAAGTTAGGGAAGGATCCTAAGAATACCTCCATTTGACCAGCTGCATATGCAGAGTTCTGGAAAAGATGGTAAACTGCCGCTTAGTCCACTGCTTAGAACAAAATGGTTACTTGTCACCATATTAGAGTGGTTTTCTAAATGGAACATCAACTATACATAGCATTGTGACCCTAGAAACAGCAATACGAAATGCTTTTGTGAAAAGAAACCGCTTAGTATCATCTTTTTCGATATGGAAAAAGTATGTGACAAAACATGCAGATATGGAATACTTCGCTATTGGCACGATACTGGATTACGTGGATGGCTATCAAGCTTTGCGGAGAATTTTATAATGTAGAGATGTTTCCAAGTACAGATAGGTTCATTGCTGTCAAATGAGTTTACTGAAGAAGATAGCATGCCCAAAGTTGCATACTCTTTTTAATTTAAAAATTAACTCTATTCTCAAATTCCTCAAGCAGTTCTTGGCACATTATATATCGATGACTTTCATATTAATTGTTAAGATTATGGTTCAGTCGCATGCTGTATTTGAAGACAACTGCAGATTTGTTTAACAAAATTACTAAATGGGCCATTAGAAATGGAGTCAAGCTCTCGAACCAGAAAAGAGTGTGTGTGGATTTTTGCCGCAAAAGAACCTACGTTCAGAACAAGAGCTTTTTTCTGGATGGAGCTTTGATACCAGTGGTGCGAGAGCTCAAATTCCGTGGGCTGGTATTTGACGAAAAGTGTACTTCCTCGTCCCATTTATCAAGCCTGAAGAACAAGTTCCTTAAGAAATTAAATATTCTATAGGTCTTCTCGCGAATGGTTGTTGGAGAGCCGATCGATATTCCAACTACGTATTTATATACGGTTTATTGTACGATTGAAAATTGAATATGGTTCGACTGTCTATGGATCTGCACAGTTTTTTGTGTTGTTGAAAGTGGATCCTATCCATCACCAAGCTCAGCGGATTTTTTTCGGTGCATTCAGAACGTCTCCAGTGCAGAATCCATGTTTAAGCTTAAGACGTGAACAGTTGTCTCTAGAGTGCTGCTTCAGTGTTAACGCTCAACCATTTCATTCTGTTCGATCATTTCTCCTTGACGATCGGTACCCCATTTTTTGTACTGAGCATGAGCTTCGTGTATTCCTTATTTTGCTTTAAGGATACGCTATTTTGCTTGTTATAGTTTGATTGACATGCAAGTTAAAGCAGTAAAGTTATATGATATTCCATCTTGGACATCTGAAAATTCCTATTCGTAATGTTTTTGATAATTTCTACAAGAGCAGCATTTGTAATGTTTTGTTCCGGAAAACTCTAGCAGAGCACAGATGCAGGTATAATAGCTATATCTCAACAGTTCAAAGACCCACAGTCAGGCTGGATCGGCATTTGTGTGCGGAGGTACTGTAAAAAGCTTTATATTGCCTGAAGCCTTTTTGTCTTCTTTTCAGAAATAATTTGCCATCTTTAATACTTTGGCCTTTACTTCTAGGCAGCATCGCAAGAAATATATCTTCCATACAGATTCAAGTGCCCTGATGTCGATAAAAGACTTTATGAGCTTTTACTTGATCTGGAACTGGTAATAAGCCCAAAATCCTTAACAGACGTGAAGCGAATTATCGCTATGTCTAAAACGTAACGACAAAGTCTTGGAAAGGTTCAAACAACCAGTAAGGTGTTTATTTATTTAAATTAACCAGCTATTTTATGTTTACGCATCTTTCCTGTCACATCTCCTTTTCCGTTTTTCTTCCAGAAAGCAAATTATATCTCGCGCGTATTTTAAGTGAGGGTTTGAGATGGCTTTAGTCAAAGTGTATTCCGCCTGTTGAAGATTTTCTAGTTGATATTCTACGACAGCATTACTGTCTACGGCGTTGCTTTAAGCTTGCAGATAGCGTTATAACAGCAGTGTAGGTTTGAGCGAACTTGCGTGTTAAACACTTCTGCGTAGCCTTTGGCTCATTTAAGACTTATATTTAAATCTGATTTCTTACTTTTGAGTTTATGCTATAAATGCTGGCTGGGTTCCCGAGTATCAAGACTTCTTTCTGTTCAAACATTTGAGTTCTTAATAAAAGGGTCATTTATAGCCTTCTTACGTTTCTGTTTGCACTCCAGACATAGGGATAATTTGCATAGTTTTAATGTAAAGCCTTAGTGCATATTACCAAAGAGAGTGAGACTGCACGAACCTTTTTACTTAAATAGACTTTAAAACATAAAGCACTTTCTTGTGCTAACAACGTTAACCACAGTTCGTGGTGGTGCAGTTAAAGGAAGAGTCAAATTCAAGTTAAGGCGTGAAATAGACACTTTATTTACACTTTATATACACTTTATTTTTTTAATAATGACTGTTTTAGTTTGAGAAGCAATTAAGCTAGTCAAAGTTTGAAGGATCGGGGCTATAACATCTTTTACTGCTGAGTACCTGGGCACGTAGTAATCAAGGGGAATAAATCGGCTGATATTGCTGCTAAGTTGCCTGTTGAAAATGTCAATGTCCACCAGTCTATTCCCTTTGGAGATATTCAGAAGGTCGTCAAATGCAGGTGTTAGATAAATCGCAGCAATTATGGGAGACTCATGCGAACAATAAACTGAGACTTGTCAAACCTAGGATGCGGTGTTTGTTAGGAACTGAACAGGAATTATAAGGAGGAAGTGCTCTTGACTCACCTGCATATAGATTCCTCAAGCTTGGCTCATCAGCATTTATCAAATGGAGGAAATGATCCTATATGCAGTACATGCAATTATCTTTTATCCATTGAACATATTCTAATTATTTGACCTGTTTTTAATCCTCTTAGATTACTATATTTTCATAAAACACATCTTACATTGATAGACTTCATTGAGAAGTATCCCTATTTTAATATATTTAGATTTTAAAGGCTGTCAAATATATAATGGCGTATACATTTTAATATTGAATTTTATGCATTTAACACATACTCATTTCAGACAAGTTCTTGAACACACAAAATAGTTTCAAACTTTGTTTCCAACTTTCTGTCATCCTTGTCCTTTTTACATACTTTAGTTTTTACATTTTTTTTTTTTTTTTCCTAAGTCATTCGGTTTTACTGATATTTTATGTTATAGTTTTCTGTGTATTTGTGCATATATCCCCATCTTTCTATGCATATGATGTGTGTGTGAATTTGAAAAATCTATTTGTGAGTCTTTATTTTATTCTCTTAATCTATCGTGCCTAAGAGTAGCCTTACGCTTGGCCATCATAATCTTTAGGTTATGCGCCAAAACAATTCCACTACAACCCCTTGTGGAGGACCTTGGGCAATATTCTTTGTGTTGAGCTAGAGTTAATAAGAGACATTAGTTAAATAACCAATGGCTCTGGCCATTCCCGATAAATGCATTAAATTTATTCAGCTATTTGAAACAGGAAAGCTAACTTTTTATCCAACCCTTAGCAATATAATCAAGAATTTACTTAAACAACAAGAATACATAATACAAAATAATTTTAGACACACATCTGATTTAAAGGAAGACGTGAAGCTTACTTGTGTCCCATTTCGTGAGCCACTGTGTACGCCAATGCTAACCCAGTGTCTTCATTAACATTGCAGCTTCGGTGCGGTTGGCACATCCCTGCAACTTCTGCTAGACCCAACGTACTGCATGGCTCGTTGGTTTTTGTGCAAATATTGTATCTGGAATAAATAACAATATTTTTTAAATAAGTGCTTTTATAATTATGCATTAGTGAAATGGAAAGCGAGATACCTCTTCAAGATTGCGAAAACAAAAACCTGCAGAAATTTTCATTTTTGCTTTTCAATATCTGCTGAGAACGCATGTTTGTATTGTCTGAACCGCAATATCAAATCCAAAACAGAAGGATTCAAATTTGGTCCAGGCATCAAACAATTGTTCAGAGATATCCCATTGTTACACTTCGAAGATGCGTCAAACATGATACGGACTTTAGTTTTTGATACATTTTGTCTTACCACTGCAGAATGTGGCATGTAATACATTTTATTATTGTCACGACTTTCAATTTCGCACTCTTCAATTATTTCACTTTTTAACTGTTCGTTTATTCTGCTATCATAATTCTCCCTAAGCCATTCATCATTTTTTTAGTTTATTAACCAAATATACTAGACGTCGCTTGGCATTTTCTAAATTATTACCCAAGTTTTCATGATGTGATTTCCATAACAAACAAGCTACATACATATCTAACATTAATAAAATGCAATTCTTTTTCAAATTTTTTAATGACTATTACCCAAGTTTTCATGATGTGATTTCCATAACAAACAAGCTACATACATATCTAACATTAATAAAATGCAATTCTTTTTCAAATTTTTTAATGACTGATTTATTATCAGGATTCTCCTTCTCCTCTAAACCCAAGTGGTCCAAAGTCCAAAACCTTCGTAACAGTCATTAACTGAATTATTATATTTTTTCAAGCAATGAGAAACACCAGTTGTAAACATACAGGCGCTGGACTGATCACCTTCCAAAGATCCAACCAACCAAATATAGAAAGATACTTCAAATAATTTATTACTTACTCTTTTCTTTTCGCCTGTTTTCCCGACATGAATCAGATCCTAACAATATTTTTATTTCAGCTGCTTCACCATTATCGGCTAATTTTAAATTTTCTAATTTTAATATTTCTAAAATGGTTTTGAGAGGTTATTTATGATCGCTCCAGAAATAGTGTCTGTAACAAGAGCTTCAACCGTGATTGAGTCATTAGCGCAGTGTATAATTTTCAGGGTAATTTCAAGAACATTATTTTCCATTAGTCTACCTTGGATACACCCAAAAGAATAAATATATAACCTTTCTTTCCTTAAAGTTCTTAATTTTAGTTCTTTAGCTAAATCAGATCTAATAAATGACCTCTGTGATCCCCCATCATTTAGGATTTTTACTATTTGTCTTCTAGTATTATCGGTATCTGAAGCGTAAACAGTGCAAGTTTGTAAAACCTTTATCAGCAGTTTCAGAAACAGTCGTAGAGTTAAACGACAGGGATACAACCACATTCTGATTAGAAGCTGATACTGTAACTATTTTCTGTTTAACATCTGAGAGTGTTTCCGCTTCAGGAACAGTATTTTTACAATATAACTTATTATGATTTAAACCATTACACAACTCACAAGACTGAAGTTTCACTTTACATCTGGACGACACATGTCCTTTCTTAAAACGATTTGTAACAACGTCCATGGTTTTTTAATATCGCTGTTTTTTGCTCATTTGTTTTCTTACATTTTCCTACATCATGTGTATTTTTATTATAATAGAAACAGCACGGCTGTGGCTAACGCCGAAGCAGTAGGAACGCTTGCCCCTTTTAAGTAATTATTTTTATTCTTGCTTAACACCGTAATTTGTGTCCCTTTTCTTTGAGTTTATTATTAAATTAGAAGGTTCCCGACTCTCAACTTCCAATCTAATGAATTCGTGAAGTTCTGTTAGGTTATACTGCTGTTTAGAGTTTCGTTTTTTATGAAACTAGAGATTCATATCGTCCGGTAGAAGCTTTAAAATAACAGGTCCTAAAAGGCTCCCATAAGTTCAGTGCAAAGGAATAATTTTTCAACAACACTCCATTTCGGGTTAACAACCGCTTTTAAACTGTATTCTTAAATCAAAAAAACTATTCGTGCGCAACTGTTGGGCGCCAAAAATATAAAATAATATAATAGAACCCAAAAGATTTCATGTTATCTCGGCTCAAGAAACATTATTCAATTCAAATCACACACAAAATCGCAAAGTAAATGAACATTCGAATCAGGTTTCAAACTTCCAAGTTTATTCAGTTCTAACACACATTTAACTGGCGCTGCCAGATCCAAGAACAAGACAGACAGAAAGAAGTACAGGGGGTACTAAAACATCGCCATGGGCAAAACTGGTATCGCCCCACTGCACTAACCATCTATGGAAGTGCACTCTGACGGGGCAAGCTAAGGCCAACTCGGGCATTTGTTTACCCTGCAGCATTCATAATTACATAATATATTAATGGCGCATACTTTGCATTGCAAACAAAATTGTTTAAGATATACTTTATATACGGGTACTTTGCAGTTGGATGGATAAACACAATAATTACAAAGGTGTTGTGTATTTAATTATGGCAAAGCACACTAGGGCTATCTGCCTAAGGGTATGGATGCCTTCGTGGAGGACTTTCTAGGGGGAACTGGCTCGTATACACGTTACACATGGGGAAAACCACGAAAATGCCCATGCAGCCAGCCCGTTCATGGGATTCGAACCTTGGACCGAACTACCAGTGTTCAGCGACTTTACTGCTCGGCCGCTGGTGGGCCCTAATTACAAAGGATAATTACAATAAGTTATTAACAGATGTATATATATATTTCTTTTGCGTCTCGGTTTGGAGCTTTGTTGCCGGGGGGGGAGTGATTATGGTACGGGATTTTTTTTTTTTTTTTTTTGTTACATGGTATATTTTCAGATAAATTTTTTACAACCTTAGTTATAAGTCGCCAAACTTTGGCTACCATGAGCATAACAGGCCTTAAGGTATATGCATTTTAAGTTGCAATTCGAAAGTTTGCCGAATCACCGTTTTCTTCAGTTAAAAATAGCCAAACTGTGCCAAGGTGGTTGCGCTAATACGTAAATACCATTTTTACAAAATTGATTGGTTTAAATTTAAAAATGCCAAAACATAAATATCTACGTTATTAAAAATATTTTTATGTAATTGAAAATATATGTTCATGACGAATGGCTGCAAAATTCAAGCCGGGTAAGGACTTAAGTGAAACTTATGCAGAACTGGGTGAATATATTTGCTCAAGCGAGAGAGTAAATACATCTCGAACCTTCCAAAAATATCATTCCAAAGCCTAAAAGAGTGCGTTTTTGGAAAGCTTGTAAAATATTTTTATATTCACCAGATTTTTGTCAAAAAGTTTCGCCAAGTAGTCCGGTCTTTACCCATATCTCTAATTCTACACTGGTGAAATAAATTAAGAGAATTTGCCAGTTTTATCGAATTGCAGGAAAAGAACTGCACTGAAGGAAAAACCACTGCTTCTAGATAAAAATGCAACTCTTGTACAGCAAATATGTAAGCGTACACGTGTGTGTAGGCGGAGCCAGCAGAAAAAGAGGTTTTATAGGAGCGTGGAGGGTAAGACGAATTGCGTTCGTTAGCACACCTCGGTGAATTTCTTGATGTTATCTTGCAGCAATCGGGGAATTCACATCGGAACAGTAAAAATGAATAACTACCAACGTTTAGATGATGGAATGAGGTGGCGAATTGTGGGGAGGCTAGAGGCAGGCCAATCGTAAGTCCAGATATGCAGAGATTTGATTTAACGCTCCGCTTCGTGGGCAACCTATGGAAACAGTTCCAGGTTACTGGATCCATCGAGAGAAAGCCTGGGCAAAGTCGTCCAAGAGCCACGACGGCCAGAGAAGATCGCTATTTGTCCATTTTAGAGGGGCGTAACAGAGGGCTACAGGTTCTCAGCACTTTCGGGAACTGTATGCAGCCACAGAAACCCGTGTAACAAGGGTGACTGTTTCCAAAAGACTGAATGAGAGAGGGATATTTGCCAGAAGACCGGCTGTTTGCATCCCGCTCACGTCTACGGACGTGAGAGTCCGATTAGCATGGTGCAAGCAGCATAATGATTGGAGTACAGAGCAATAGGCGACCGTTCTGTTCAGCGATGAATTCTGTTTTAGCCTAAACACCGATTCTCGCCGTTCTTTCATATGGGGAGAGCCAGGGACCCGCTACCTGCCTTCCAATGTCCGCGAAATCAACAGTTATGGCAGTGGCGGTGTCTGGGCAGGCATCATGTTGAATGGTCGCACAACTCTCCACGTCTTTGACAGAGGCTCTGTGACTGGTGTGAGGTATAGAGATGAGGTCTTGGAGTCCTATGTTCGCCTTTTCTGGGGTGCATTGGACCCCGAGTTCATCTTACAAAACGATAACGCGAGGCCACATAGAACTCTTCTGGTCGACGAATTTCTCGAGAGTGAGGATATTCGCCGGATGGATTGGCCAGCCAGGTCTCCAGACCTCAACCCTATAGAGCATGTCTGGGACACTGTTGGGAGGGCAATTGCAACTCGCAACCCCCCTCCGAGAACCATTCGGGAACTGAAAACAGCGTTTCTGAATGAGTGGGACCATTTGCCATAGGTTACTGATAAACTGCCTTATTTCCAGTATGACATCACGCTGCGAAGCCTGTATGGCTGTAAGAGGGGCCATACCCCCTATTAACCCATTTCTTTTGTGCAACCGCTGTTTCAGACCTTCAGACTCCCATAAATGTTATACACGAACAAATGTGCCTATTATAACTGTTGACTGTTTATTTTGTTTGTATTATATCAACCTATGTTCACACCAAATTTTATTAAAATCTCTCCAGTGTTTCTGGAGATCGTAGATCAAATATTAAAATTCTCTTAATTTATTTCACCGGTGTACTTCATGTATCCTTAAATTCCAAATTCATTCTTAAGAGAATTAAAATTTCTATAAAATAATGTATTAAGTAAACATATACATGCACAAATGGCCGCAGACTTTTGATAAAGATACGTTGGAATAATATAATTTCGGTACTTTTATCACGCAACTTTAAGACAAGCTTTATCTGTCTCTCATTCTATACTTGATCTAGTTTTCCTAGAGAAAAACGAGGAAAAAAATTGCTGGTCCTTTTTTTTTTTTTTTTTTTTTTTTTTTTTTTCTCCACACCTGACAGAAAGGAAGAAGAGCGGAAGGGCTGCTAATGATACAGATAACCAAAATAAATTCCAGAGAGCCCTTATCATATCATGGCCACCCTTATCAGAGCCACCCTTATCATATCATGGCGTTTCGTGCTGAAAAGAAAGACAAAATCATCTTTTCTTTTCAGCACGAAACGCCATGATATGATAAGGGTGCTGATTATATCATGGTATGACCAGGAATGCCACTTATTAGTGTAGCCACCCAATCCTGATTAACTTACGTATAGTGAGGGAGGTTTGTGCTTACCGCATTCGTACCTGGTGAGTAAGACTGCCACATCATGATGGTTGGGGTGGGTATCGTCCTTTGGATTTACGAACTTTTGCCACCGACAGAAACTGCGTAAGGTGTCATCTGCGTGCTGACTGATGCTCAGCTCCTCTGTACGCTGAAATAGAACAGTACCCAATGTCAATAATCGAAAGAAAGGCAATGATACAGATTTTAAGTAAGTACAGGAAAAGAATATGAAACGTCATTTTATAATACATTATTCCACTCTTATCGAGCCTGTTCTTGCAATATAATAAATGGTTATCACGCCCATATGAAATGCTGTTGCTCAAATTCAGGGGTTGGATGGTTTTTTTTTTTTTTTTTTTTTCCCGCAAAACCAAAAATGAGTTATTCTGCGACAAACAGTCGATTAATATTTCAAATGTTGAAACTATGCAATCTATGATTAAATTAGAAAGTATTTCTAAGCAATACACTAAAATTCTTAACGTTTTCTCATAATAGGGAAACTTAATGGACATAGTCCGCTGTGGGGCGGTAAGGACACAAATCCTCGAGGAAAACAAATTTAGCAGATAATCGAAGATTATTCTGTCTTTTCAATAGTGGACAACACTCGTACTTCCACAAGCCAACAGGGATATTTCATGCCCCTGACCTTGCCATGTGTTCACCTTCTCTTTTGCGTTGGGAATGATCTTTATAGTAGCCATCAGTTCCCCATTTTTCTGTCGTTCGCACGAGAAGAAGAAATCCCACGCGACGCATATGGCCTCTGAAGTAAATTTATGCAGCCTGCTAATATATTTCAATGACGTATTAGTTGCAAATACAGTTTTGCAAAAATTTCAAGATTTTAGCTTTTAGAAGCCCGAATTAACATCAGTTTTATTATCACTAAAAATAAACATGAACACCATAAATATCTAAATGGATTAATGACACAGTGTGATTACAGATTACAGATTTTATTAACTTTTATTTATACTTGCCAAAAATACATGCTCTCAATTACAATTTTTGCATTAAGAATAATTGTTTTGTTTGGAAACACATTTATATGCGCGCAGTGTTTTTTCACAATTGAGAATTATTAAGAAAAGAACTCGACTGAATGATGACCGTCTACAATCTGTGATGGAGATAATTTCTGGTAAGGGCGAATTCTTTCCAGGGCTACTATCTTTATCAAAAATCGAAGTGCCATCAAGTGTTAAACTGTATTAAGAAACAAAAGAAGTTTACAGCTGTTTGAATACAAATGTATGCATTTTTATCTACGCATGGTAGAAAAATTTAATAATTCTCAAATTTTTACCGAATCATATAATTTTCTGTGAAATCCTAGGAAATTTTCAGAATTTGTTTATGTTTAGTTTAAATTTAAAGAATAAAAGAAAACATAAAAATCCGAAAGCTTTCAGATTTTACATTACGTCCAAAGTGGCAATTCGCTCATTACCAATTACCGATTATCATTAGAATTGGTATCAATGGCATGGTTTCTTTACTACTGCCTTTTAAGTTTTATTGACGACTGTTGACTATTCTATTCTTCCATATAAAGGAAAGTGGTAACAAAGCGTACTCGTGTGTACATGATTTGATATGAAAAGATTCCATCGATCATCACATATCCTCTGATAGATGTGTTTGGGATTAATCCGCAACTCGAGATTCATATATCGAGATCTCCGGAGAATGCTTTCGTTCCGAAGAATCTAAATGGATATTGAAATCTCCGTCCAAGACCATTTTACATGCTTCGTCGTATTCCAAAGTCCGGAAAATGGCATCGAGCATATGAACGATACTGAGATTCGGTTTTGCGTACAGGACAGTAAATCTAACTTTATCTTGTACGTAGACCACGTACATCGTTATAATTCTTTTTAATATACTTCGCGTTTTTATCACTCAGTTTGTTTTTCTCATAAACCATGACTACGGAAAGCTTTCTTTTTTGTTGAAACTGTCTAATCTTTCTATGAAGGTAAATTCCGGTATTTGACAGTCATCGGAAAGTAAAGTCCAAGTTTCTGCCAACAGGACTAAATGGCTTTGCATGAACGCCGAGTCCACATCTTCATAGTGAACTAGAAGCGATTGGATGTTTTGATACAGGAATTAGATCCCTCTATAATTATTTTCATGCAGGAAACCCTATATTGGAACAGGACAGGACAGACTAATTGTGGGAAGCACCAACACATCGCCATTGGCAGAACTGGTGTTGTTCCTTCACACTAACCGTCTTGAGATGAACACCTCCACAGGGAGTACTTATGCCACGCATCGGTGTTAATTGAAACGTTAATCTTTAGGGCATAGAGAACTTGTGGTACATAGCATGGCCGGGAGATACAGTTGCTGATGACAATGACATTACAATACAATACCATACATTACAGTTGATGGTGAAATTACAAATATAAATATATGTACACAAATAAACACAAAGAATTGAATGGAAAAACATTAAACATTATTATCTTGGCTAAGTTATTGTGATATTAATGTGATGTTTTTGGGACAGTGTAGCAGTTCATGGTTCACAGTTCATTGACAGTTCATGAAAAGTTCATGGATTGGGTCAGAGTTCATACATACAGTAGAGTTCACCTGTTCCAGTTGTGCCATTTTTGATGTGCATAACTGTGGTCGTATTGTCTAGGCGCTAAATCAGTACTGACCTTGATACACTAAGATAAACTATTGTAATGACTATAAAGGCACCCCCATTGGGAAAACTGGCGTTCGTACCAAAGAAAAAGAAGCACTTATAACAGTTGTGGTGCACACAGTTCCAAGCCGTGACGATGGAGTGTGTCAATTATGTTTATGATACTAATGTGGATTTTCCGGTGCTTTATCAGGAAGCGTTTGAAGTCTGTTCCCGGTGCTGTTGGATGGCGGATATGATAGTCTGCTGTTATTAGGCATTGGAATAAATAATGGTCTGGATCACCCGGATTGCCAGAAACGCATATTTCAATCTCTGAAAGATTTCGTTCACAGAAGTACTTTGGGTACGGTCCATGACCAGAGATATATTGAGAGAGATAATAATTATAAATAGTGCGCTCACTATCGACATATGGGAGAAGTGAATGCGTCCTTCTGCCTCGCAGTCCTTGGTCCCATTGTCTCTGCCACTCTTCTTTGGCCATCACTTTCAGCGTAAACTTCAGTGTGGAGCGTCGCCAATGGATGTGGATGGTAGTGCCTAACTGTTCGAGGGCTGCCTGCTTTGCCAGAAAGTCCGCTCTTTCATTCCCGCGCAATTGCTATGACCTTCCGTCCATGTAAGAACGAAGTTCGTTTGGCTGGAATTGATAATTGTTTGTATTTGTAGGGCTATTGGTGAATTTGTGCAGGGATTTTAATAGCATAGATTGATGATTGGCTGTCACTGACGATATGGACTGTGTCCGTTGATAGTTGGTGGAGCTCTTGCATACTGTAGAGGATTGCTGTCAGTTCAGCTTGGTGCATGCTGTTTAGATCTCTAAGGTGCCCTTGCCATTCTGTGTGTGAGCTAAGGTTATATTGGATGGTTGCAACGCTACCAACATTTTGTTCGATCTTTGAGCCGTCAGTGAAAGCCGTGTATTCCGTTGTGGGTGGTGGTTTGTCGAAAATGCAGTGCAGGTTTCGAAGATTCAAAGCTGGGTAATGAAAGTAATTTTTAGGCTGATCTTCGCAGTCTGTTGGGTGGAATATGTTATCATTAAAGTTAGTAGTTTTCTTGAGTTGGAGGATTATTGCGGAGATTGCGTATTTGTGCTTGAACTGGCAGTGTTTGTGGGGTGTTGTAAGAGGTAGTTGAGAATGCTCTGGTGATAATTATAAAGAAAGGTCTTTGTATGGCGTTTAGAGCTCGCACCTTTCTGGTGGTCATATGTATTGCCCAAATAGCGGCTCCATATGTGATGATCTTGTTCACCGCGGTTGTAAGTAGTATTTTCATAATTCGGTGGTTCAAGCCCCATGAGTAACCACGCATTGTCTTCAGAGCTTGTGCTATTTTCATAGTGGTGAGTGTAAATGCTGAATCCAGTTGAACTTATTATTCAATGGTGAGGCCGAGGTAGTTAATCGTTTTCACGCATCAGATCCTGTGGCTGTCTATTTTAAATGTGGGATTTCGAGTTATAGTTCGTTCCGGTTTGTGGACAATTAGTGCCTGCGATTTTTGGTGTAAGATCTGTAGTTTTATTCTTTTGCATAGAGCGTTGAAAATTTGAAGAGTGCTATTGCAGTTTTCCTGGAGTTTTTCTCTGGAGCGGCCGTTGATGATGAAAGTTACATCGTCTGCAAATGCTACGATTTGTGTGTGGGCAGGCCAGTGATGATCGATCATATGGTTAAAGGTGAAAATCCAGAGATACACGATCCCTGTGGACATCGTCTTGCTTGTTGCTTTGTGATGACCGAGTTATTGTGGAGTACTATGCTTTTTCTATTATGCAGGTGAACCGTTTATGGTGAACCACCGCAAAATCACGTTTCGAGTTTGTTAATGCAAAATAGTCATTAATATTGAAATGGGATTTGAAAATTGATACAGACATTACCGTTAGACATTGTAGCGTCTTTGCGTTGGTACACTACCAACATAATACCAGTAAGGAATGTAAAGAAACCTCCCGCATAAAATATCCATGCTTGAAGACGCACGCGATGTTAATGTTAATGGAACGCTTTGAAATTGTTAATTAAAAATTTGTTAAAGGTTTGCAAAATATGAAATAGATAATAATACAAAAAATTCGGGCTTCCAGATGCCCATATTCGAGTGGAGAACTACGGTATTCAAAGTTTCATGTGTCTGGGTACCGTTGTTTTTTCACAATGCGAGAAACATACATACATTCATGTAGATTCTTCATTATTTAATTTCTTTAAATATAATACAGTGCTCTAATATTTAGCGGCGACAATCTGAAAAGTGATTCAGACATTTATGGTGAACCAATGCAAAATGTCAAAACGAAATGAATAGCCCTTCTTGGCAAATTGCTCCTTTGAGCTAATAAATTATTTAAGGATTCATTAAACAAATTAGATCTATTTTAAATAAATGTTATTCTGAAAATTTAACACTTAGCAAGCAATATATAATAAAGTGTAACTAACAAAAATGTCTTG